TCAAACAGTGATGGTGAAAGCTCAAGGTTAGAGTTGCTCGTTCACTCGTTGGCTGGCACATTCGGCAGCCTGCCTGCCTGCCTACTCTTCCTTTGCACTCTGTGTATACTGGCTATTCGCATTGTGGAATTAATAATGCATTTTCATATTTTTTTCCCCATCTCAATATGTGGGGAATAGCATAGCATCTGTCAAGTCGAATTCTAAATCCAACTGTCGAAAGTCAAAGGGTTATTCTTTTTTTTTTCTTCTATTTTGTCATTGAGAGCTGAGAAGCTGTCAGGGGTATTAACTTTGACAGTGCATTCTTCTTTACCTCTGGCATGCGCATGATTATGTCAGACGTTTTATTAAAGAGGGTTAATCATCCTTCTTTGTCCCCTCTGTTGAAGCACAGGTTTTTATCTTCCTCCAGTCATAAAATGCCAAAAAACATTATTTGGAATTTCTGCAATAACCAGTTATGCTACCCAAAGCAAAACTCAAAATCACACCTCAGTGGCTGTCCCTTGTTGACAGTAGGTGGTAAAAGCAATGTTGAGGTAGAGGAAGAGAAAGAGAAGCAAGTAGAGTGGAGGAAAAAAGTGATGGCCATCTGGGATGACTCAACATCTATGCCAGGGATTGTTGAATGTAACACGTGCATCTCTAACTGTCACACACTGTAGGATGCCAGGCTCAGACAGATGCAGGACCAAAGGTGCTGTTGTTTACCGCTATGTTCCTTCTCTCCTGCCCTCCCTTCATCCTCCATCCTCCCATTCTCTGTTTATCTCTACGGGAGACAGGCCCCCTCGTGCTTCAGTAACGCAGGTGCTGTGTGGCTGATCTGAATGTGATGGCAGCAAAGAAAAAAAATGTTCTGGCGAGGAGATTGAGAGTTGTAGTGGGTCAAAACCCAACAAGCTGTGCTGGAAGGCCGTGCTCTTTCTCACCTCTCCATTTTTCCTAGCACCAGGTGGTGCATTGCCCGCTTCCACCTGCTCAGCTGAAATGCCACTCTGCCTCCCCTGGACGATCAACATGTGCCATGCAGATTACTTACTAAGGCAAAGAGGCAGACAAAGAGGACAAGGAGGTTGGTAAACATGCTGACCTTGTCACGGCTGACTTGTGCTTCCAGTGTGCCTTTAAAATAACTTTGAAAACTTCAAATGTAAACACAATGTAAACACAGAGTCGGTGAATGATTTTAAATCATATGCACTAATGAATTTTGGGATACTTTCTGAAATACTTTTTAAAACAATAACTATTCTTTATGTGCTTCATCAAAACACACATTCTCAGACTTGAGAGTGTGTTATATTGTTCTCCCCTTCCTCTCACCCATCCGCTGTATTTGTTCTTTTCTATGTTTTGTGCACTTAAAGACAGAGAGATTTGGGCCTCTTGCACCACTTGGGACCACTGAGAGCCAACCTTCTCAGACTTCTGGCTAACCTTCATGTTCGATCAATAATTCTCCATAGAGGCTCCATCTTTGGAGTTTGTTTGATTCTGTTCTCCTGCTTGCCTTGCTACTTACATCACAGCTAAGATGATGAAATTTATCAAACTTGATGCTTTTAACCCAATATGAACTTGAGCAAATTCAGAAACGGGAGCAGAAAAGCACAGCAAACTTGTGTATTTTTGTCACAAATGCAGCCAGTTGTGGAGCTAAGACTAAGTCTTTATGCAAGAGGGAAGGTTTCCCACTCACCATCAGCTATTTGATACCCAACAAAAAAATACCTTTAGCCTGGAAGATGGATGGACTTTGGTTGATCTGACAGAGGTCAATGATTTCCCTTCCCATGTCAGCTGAGAAGTAAACACCGGGACACAGGCAGCTATTTCAGCTCTGTGTCTGGACCCATGAGCTCTGCTGTGAAGCTTAAGATCCCTATCTCTGAGAAAAGAAAAAGAGCCTGCCCGCCGTTCTTTCCCCCTCCCCTTCATCTCTGCCCCACACCACACCACCCCGTCCCCTGTCCTCTTACTTTCATTACGCATTTTTTGTTTATGCTTGGGCGCAACCGTGGCTGTTCCTGATGGTTTGAGGTCAGGCGTGACTGGCCACGGGTTACTCTAAATAAATACACACGGACTAGCCAGGAAGGAGCGGGTAGGCTGTACTTGCTGCCGAATCACCCTTGATTAATCAGCTGGCAGATTCAGGGTGACTTTTTGTGTACACTCTCCACCATCGCCATTCCTTCCCCCCCTCCAATCGACTCCCCACTCTCTCCAACCCACAAACCCACTGAAGGTGATGGAATCAGAGCAGCACAGACAGGGCAATCCAGGCAGCCAAGCAGATGGAGCGTTGCAACACAGTCCTGCATCTGCAATACGCATGATTATAAAACAAAGGCGCGCGTGTGCGCTCCTAAAGATGTACACAAAGGCACAAATAGGATTGCACACAAAACCTTCTGACCAGCTACTTCAGCTTGTGGTCTCTAACTAAAGTGACATAGTACTATTTTCAAGACCATAGTGGAAGCAGACTCATGGCCTGCTGTCTTATCCTGTGGAGCCAGCTAAGTGAATAAAAACGCATTATTACTCTGTGGATGGAGAATCTAATCACTAGAGACCGTCTAGTGATTTGATTAGATTTTTGTAACTCCAGGACTAGATTTTGCAGTTTTTTCAAATAAAAAAATGTGAATGCGTGCGCATTCGCACATACGCTCATAAAGGGATTGTAATGCCAGCAGTTAGTAATAATTATACGGTGCTTTTACAGCGCAGTAGCTTCACTGCAAAAACAGCTAGGTTGAAGTGTCCAATTGATCTGATTTGAAGCAACATCAATATAAACAAAAGCTTTACACACAGAAGGCTATAAGCTATAAAGTGTAATTCTCCACAGTATCCAGCTCTCACTTCACCTTCTTTCACCTCTTGCCTCTACCAGCCCATCAAGTTCACCTCACAGTGGAGTGCACACCAACCGGCACCTTGACTGGCATCATTAGGGGTGGTGCTGTTCTCTCACCTGTCAGCTCCGCTCGACCATGCCTCAGTAGTGCTTCAGATAGACCACGCAAACTCCTGTCACTAACGCTGACCCTTTCCTCTTGTCCAGGCTCTATAGCTCTACCCCTCACCCCTCTTTGCATTCCCTTTCGCCTGCCCTGGCCTTCAGGCTCCTGCAGCTGCCATCCCAGCATCCAGCCCACTTCCCCCCTGCTCCTGCTTCACTTCAAGTTCTCAACCCCGACTTTAGACCTAGCCCCCGGCCTTAGCCCCCCGGCCCCCGTGCCTATGTTGCCCCCAGCATGGATGGACCTATCCTCGGGCAAGGTGTGGCCCCATGTGGCCCGCCTGTCCAGAATACAGGTTATCAGCTGTGATCGCCGCAATAGACTTCTACCTGAACCTGCTGCCCTGAGGGGATGAAGAGAGTGAGAAACAGAGAAGAAAAGAGAGAGTGAGAGTAGACTGAGCAAAAGAGGAAGCTGATGAGTGAGGGAAGAAGTAGAATAGAAAAACAGAAAAGAGAGGAGGTAGTGATAAGGACGAAGTTTTGCCTGGAGGCAGGGATGAGGCAATCAGTACCCCTCAAAACCTAGCAGGCAGTTGGAGACCACCACAGGCATTTCTACAGAAGGAGAACATGAGGGGCTTTCAGGTGTGTGTCAAACACTAAGCAGCATGCTCTCTGTTCTCCGGTTCCTCTCCACAGCAGTGTGTTTTAACCACCCTACAGACAGCCTCCACAAAATCCAAACCAGACAGATCTACTGTTTTTTTGATGAATGCCTGATCCTAGAAATTCCTATAATCCTTTTCTTTTAATTTATCTTCCTTTCATTCATTTTATTTTCTTCTTCTTAACTTTTTATTCATTTGTGCAACTGCTGTGTTTGTTTATCCAGTTACCCTAAATTAACTTGAATGGATCTGATTATTGGGTGCTGTAACATTCTCAGTCCAACAGATTTCATATCTGTTGCTGGACAATTGTAAAACCAAACCATATGCCACAAATTGTTTCAAATTACCCTGGATCCAGATTATCAGCACTAAAAAACCTGTCCGAGTTTGAAGCATCATTAATTCTCCAGCCGTTTTGTTTGGCAATGAGATTGCCAAGAACTCAGTGAGTGTTGGTTTGTTATCGTGGTCGCAGACATTGTAATCAGGCCTCAATAATCACACTTCCAGAAGCGGAATGTGCCTGGGGCCCACGCCAACAGACTCTAATGTGGGGCACCGCGGACCGCTACCCTGCAGACACACGGGGCTGGCAGATGGAGGCTGCCATTAAACATGGACAATCAAAGAACACAATCGCTGAGCAATATGTCAGACACTGCCAACACAGAGAGGAAAGGGAGTAAAAGATGCAAGGGCTTAGTACAAATTTAGTATCATTATGGGAATCTGCATAATTCCTGATTACGGTGAATGCTGTGCATAAGATCCAACACATGGAACTTGTGCACGAAAAACGTGTCTTTACAAATACATTGTAAGTGGTCACTAAAAAAATATGACTGAAATCCAACCAGTCTCAACTAAAATCACAAGGCCAAAGGCTGCTACTGTCCATAAGTTCTTGACATCATGTCTTGTATGATACTGCTGGACGACTTGCTGAATTTTATGTGGCCTTTTTCTATTTTGCACAACAGGAAGCTCATCGACTTTAGCAGGCTTTCACTAGTTGGCATCAGTTCAACCATTGGTAAATTGCCTTTTGGTATGTGATAGATAAGGTATATAGAATAAAGCATTGTATGAATACTGTTAAATGTGGCTTGTAGCCAACAATGCTATATAAATGCTATTCCCAATGTTCTAGTGGCATGTCTACAGTCTAGGAGCATAAGCAATGACTAATACATGCTCTTTGATGTTGTCTACCAAAAAGGACAACATACTGTGGATTTAATCTTGAATCTATAATTTTATTCACAAAAACTTCTTTCATTTCCTCTTTTTTCCCCTTCACTTCAGACCCTCCGTGTTACGTGGTCTTATGTCCCTTCTCTGTGTTTCAGGACTTCAGGTTCCTGGTGTCTTGGAGGATGACTACAAGTATATCCTGTTTCACTTCCTGAGTGGACAGACATGCGGAGGCCCCAGTTGAACTGTTCGTGGGGTGGTAACCTCTGTAACAAACATGTTCTGCCATAATGCCATATATCTCGAAGTGACACAATTATTAGATATGTCAGCGTTAATGGCAGATAAACAAAGGTGAGCAAACAAAAAAGGACATGTCAGTCACAGCATACAACCACAGACTAGGAAAAGATGTAATGAGGCAACCTGTTAAATGACACCTGAATGAACCTGGCATTGTACGTGCAACCGAGTCATCTAATGAATAAGACCATCAGCAGTTTCAAATCAGACTTTCAGTTTCAAAAATGGTATTTCTGTAAGTGTAAACCTTTCTTTGGAGAGCTACAAATGTTTGTATTTCCTTTTCTCTAATTGTTCTTTATCTGTGGATCATAAATCTCTCAGGGAAGGGCCATTAGGAAGAAAATGGCTGGCAGGGACTTTGCCACAGGGACATTGCCAGTCTATTCCCACACAGAGGATGTCCAGGCACTAACTATAGACACAAGTGTTACAAGTTGCAGTCCATTCACCAGAGTCAGATGACAGCATGTCCCTGGCAGCCCAGGACTTTGATGCCAGCAACAAACTAGCTAGTATTTGGGATTTCTGTAGTTAGCATGGTTTCATTTCCAAATAGCAAAAGAATTGAATCTTAACATAATATCCTTGAATATCATTGTGTTGTGAATATTTTACGGTGTGGCCTGTTTCCTGAACCCCGATGCAATGTGCCTTAATGCACTAGGTATAGCACATGATTCAGTACACTGCTGGAAAAAAAACCCCCAAAAAACAATGGCATTATGCTACATCAGAGCTGTTTCTCATGACTAGCAGGTTTTTATGATTAACATTTAAATTTATTATTTTTTATTGAACTATGCAAGCAGTTCTGTAAGTTGTGTTTTTTTAAGTGTTTAGGTCTTAACCCATGGTGACAGGCAGGTCTGGGAAAACAGCACGGAAAAGTCTACTCACAATCAAATATCCTGCCTTAAGTGTTTCGGGGGAGTTTGTGTAAATAGGACTCTGTGAGTGGAGCTGTAAAATGATTTCCTGTTACAAGCACAGTGGTTTGTTGATGAACATCAAGAAGAACATGACAGGAACTGGCATCATGCAACAGACACGCAAGCAGCATGGAAGAAATTGCAAGGCATTTTTGCACATGCTGCTTGCAATAAAAATGCTTTATTCCCACGTGGCGGTGATTGTGGTGCTTTTCAGCAAGTTCCCTTTGTATTAACTTCATCGATTTAAGAAATACCTTTAAAAGAAATTCCCCATCATCTTTGAAGTAGGCAATAATATTATCTTTAAAAAGACTCTTAACACACTAGAGTAAAAGTTGGAAATTTATGACTAATCGATATAAGTGTACCTTATTATTCAAATAAATGATCTAAGAACCAGGAACAGAGCTATAAAGACCTTAACTATTTCATTAAATCTAATTAAATTGAATTGACATTAAAAGTCATTATTTAAGGCTATTTTTTCATAAGTGATTAGATGAGCCATACTGGATCTCCTTAGTATTAAACACATACTGCTTACAGTATTACAGAGTTAATGGGACAGATAATTGACAGTGAACCATAGGAGGTTAATAATAGATGTTTAATTGACTCATATCAATTTGTTACAATGAACATCATTGTCTAAAGATCCTATTCATACTGGGAGCAGACACATTTCCAGCAATGACCATATTACTTTTTTATGATCATCACTTTTGGGATTCACAAAGACAATGAAGTAGCGTATGAACAAGTAGTATGCAAGACGATTTAAGGATAAAACAGTGAACGCACATACACACATACCCTGTAGTTTTAAAATTAAAAATCCTCAGTGAGGGGATCTGGTGGCTTTGTTGTTCTGTGGGGACTAATTTACTGGCGTGGTTTGGGTTCACTTATCTCCTTAGAGGAGATGCTCACTGCAAATCAATACAAAGTTGCCCTGAGGGATCGCCTTTTATCCCGATAAAACATATCTTGATGTAAGTGGTCTTTTCCAAAATGACAATGCCTCCCATCTATGGGGAATGAGAGGTCAGTGAATCATTGGTTGGGTGTCATATGTGGCCCTGGAAATCACCAATTTGACACTTATGGAGGAGTTCAGGCCAAGATGTTTTGTTTTGACGGGAGCAAAATGCACAAGAATAAATGTACTACAAAGCATGTCAACGCAAAACAACAAACAAAAAGTAGTAATGATCATTTCCGAGGCTCATAGACTCTAAGCCAAAGTATATAGAAGCAGTTTTCTGGCAGCTAGTATATCTTACTGAGACACTTTAAGTCGGGCTTTCCTTTAATTTGGCAGTTGACAGTGTATTCTCTGGACGACCAGAGATGTTCAAAGCCAGTATCTACAGGAAGTGTTTCCCAGTTGAGTACAAATTTGTCCGTCACCAATGAGGAAGCAAAAGTTTATTTTTTTCTGACGCCACCAGACAGAATAAGGCAGACCTGACTCCTCAGTGTATATAGTGAATATTACAGGTCAGCTACTGTCCCAGGCCCTCTAGGCCTCTCCCAACTCCCTGGAAGCCCTACACTGTTTATACATATCTCTTTCACCTTTTTCCTCCTAAACAATTAGTGAGCCGGCCAAAAGGAAACCCGTCCTGTTTGTTTTCCACACTTATTCTTGCTAGTGCCAGCTGCATGATGTTACGCAACTGTATCCAGTATACAGACAAAATAAGTGTTGGCAAACGTTCACCTATCTATGCAATTTACACGTTTTTAAGCAAAAGAATAATAGGGGACGTGAAACCTGAAGAGAAGAAGGGAAATTTTCCTTTTACAAATGTTTTTAAAAACAATTAAATGGTAAATATTTTACTTTGCTACCTTTAACCATTGACAATTTTGCACACAAGAGCATCATCAATTCATAATTTGAATAAATGTAAACAGAGGTGCACTGGAACATAGAATTTACACTATGCTATGCATCACTCAGAGGACTTAAACAGATTGAGAGCAGACTGATAGATGAACCTTAGTGGAGATATGTGGCTGGATGGAAAAGGGAAGGTGTTGGAAGGTTGAGAATATTAATCATAGCAATTATTGAAAGTGTTTTTCGCTGACATCATCTTGTGGACCCATATATCAGCCAGGAGCAGCAGGCTTATGACTTAGTGACACAAGCTGAGTGGAGGACATTGAGCAGTAAAAATTAGCACGTTATCCTGAGTGAAAAATGAAGCCATCAGAGAGCCATAAGCAGCCAACATTTGTTATTCCAAAGATTTCATTTTGGCAAGAAGGCTTTGTGGATGTTATTGTTTGTACTGTCATCATCTTTACTTTTGAAGACATTCCTTTACTGATTTACATCTATTACGGTAGTCCATTGTGCAATAGTTACTTAGGAAATAAGTGGGTTACAAGTACAAACAACAGCAGGGCTATATTTCATATCCAGAGGAACCAAAAGAAATGTAAATATGAATTGAAAATGTCAAAGATTCACACGCACGTAATGCTAAAAGTGTTAGATGACTAAGTGTGCGTATTTGTGTTCCCTTTGTCCTGCATTAGAAAGCAACAGAAACCAGACTTCTAAGCTGGTGCTCTCAAGGCCAGAAGAGACTTCCTTAAGTGGAAATGAGTAAAAGCAGAGTGTTCATAGTCTGCTATGGAGTTAGCACAACACTTAGATTCATAAGAATAACTATGCCCTGATTTAGTTGCTTCCTGAAAATAATCTGCCCACCTTGCCAGGAATTTTGAAGAACAGTCACCTCTTTGTTTATCTTTGGTGTCCATTTCTAGACGTTTAGCTCCAAATAAAGATGTGACAGCAATGAAGAGCAAGACAATGCACGCACAAAAGAACCTTTGCTGAACTACATCAAGGAAACCATTACTGTGTGTCATTCTTCTGTCTGCCTTCATTCAGATGTCTGACTGCAACAAGAGTCACATTCTTCTTTTTACATGACATTTATTTATACACTGCGCTGCGCTTTCGTCATTCTCTGTCTAAGCCTGTGCAGCGTTCCTTCCCTCCCTAACTTTAAGATGTCGTAAACACACTGCAGCCGCTCCCTCTTGGAAACTCTCAGGAACATCAGAGGGGTCCCTGGGTCTCTTACGTCTCTCTTGCTGCTCACGGCTACATCAGCTCCTCTGGGCAACCGCCCAGTTGGCTGGGAGTCTGCTGCCCTGACCCTGAACCCTGAATATAAGAGGTTAGCCAAGGGCCAGAGCAGAGGCTGAGGGTGGGTGTGGTGGCGGAGGTCAGGATGGAGGAGGAGGGGGAGAGAGACAGCTATTAAACACAACAGAGGAAGGCCCATCAGGATGTGTCTTTTATAGCTGGCTGGTACTTGAAGGAATCAAACGTCACTCCCAGAGGCAGGCAGTCCAGCTAGCAGATGAATCCTGTAAGGGTGGAAATGACGGGGTCAGGGTTTTTACAAGGTCAGGATGAGGTTAGCGAAAGGTCAGAAACTCAGTAATCTCTTCTTTTCAGTCTACGATGTTAGAATTGTGTTAACACCATTGTACGGGTGAGATACCACATTGTGTATTAACACTGGTTGAGGCCTAAATGACACAAAGATGGAGGTAGACCTTTTTTTATTATTATTCACTATCTCGCCAAGGCTGCTGGCTGCAGCTGTATGAATACTGTATTATGCAGTGCCCAGAGCTTTTCCTTTAAAGGTCCTTAGATTCAATTCTGTATTGCATGCCAAATCACAGCATAAGGTTTAAAATACACTTTTGTAGACATGTATTGGCTATATAAAGACTTGTATTCAGTCAAAAATGTTTATCAGTGTCATATCTCAGCTATACACTAATTACATTAATACAAAATTATGCCAAAAATCCAACACTGAGTACAAACGTAAGCCAACTAAGAAAAGAAACTAATGTGGTCATATGTCAACAACACTGGTCAACATTATTTTCTTTAAAACAGCTGGTGTAGTTTCATAGGATGATGACACTAGTTTGTTGATGTTTATACCACAGTAAAATAGATAGAGCTGGTAAATCAGTGAAAATGTTGCAAAAATATATATATATATTTGATCCTATCGTAAACTTTAACTATGTTACTGAAGTTAACCTGCATACGCAAGTATTCATTGTTGCTCAGGAGTAGCCTCCAGATGGCCGCATGTCTCCTACCAACACCTCAGACTCCTTAACCCTTCAACCCTCGAGCCATTCAACCTCTCCCCTCTAACACTGTCTCATTCCTTGTTTCATTTTCATTACAACCCTCCTGCGAGGATTTGAACTTGTTGCCCCATCTGAACTGGGGTGACAGCTCACTAAATCACTGCCTTTTAGTGGGCCTGCCCCCTTTTTTATACACTTTAATCACCAGACTCCAGTAACCAGGAATATTGGGCCCAGTGTATGGAATTCTCCTCGTAAAAGAAAAGGCACAGGCCACTGATGTGCCTCTCATGGCAGAATCGCTGCTAGAATTCATCTTGTTCCTGCTGAGATGGTGGTTGATGGAGGCGCTGGCTCTTGCTTACGGGTGACAATCAATCGCTCAGGATCAACAGGTTTTAGGCTGTAAACTTGAGGTCATCTCCTATCTAGCCGACAGTTTCTCATCTGGTGATGCTGGCGTTAATGCTGGAGGGAGGCCTTGGATTTTGTTTGTTATTTATGGTTAGTCGCAGGTTTAGAAATGGTTCTGAATGATCGGAGGCTATTTTTTACACTCAGTCTGTCATGGCTTTAAATTGGTTAACCCCCTGTGTACACAGGGTGTCTGAGAAATGGAGAAAAAACAAAGAAAATTCAAGCTACTACTATATAACAGGTTTTGTTTTTATTCAGAAACTTTTTTATCTGCAGATTGATTGAGTGGTATGGCTCTTCTTGTCATCTGCCATACATTTCAGTCCTTGCTTTGATGAGCCTCTTTTCTCAGTAGTAGTCCTCTCTGTCTTCTTTTCTCTTCTTCTTCCCTCTCAATTTCATCTCCAACCAAACATTAATCCTTATCCTCCCTAAGGAAGTCCACTTCATGCAGCAGTGAGGGTATTTAGAGTGAGTGTTGACATTGGACAGCAGGTTAGACAAATATCCTAGACTCAAAACCACAAGACAAATGGCAGATCAGAGCTCGCTGTGTTCTGGCAGCGAGTTTCCTGGTCTGACTTAGCTGAGGCCAGCCATTCAGC